CCTCTTATTGCTGTGAATGAGAACTATGACATAGACATCCTGTTTTACAAGGACCGCATACATCTGGGGGGGGGGGGAATCCTGAAAAAGACCCTTGAAACACAAAACATTTAGAAGTAATTAAAATACCACCTGGTCTTTTTCAATGAAAATGTTGTTTCTAGCATGCAGAAGTTCAGTTTTTTAAAGAGAAAAGAGAGGGTGAATTGATACAGTCCTATTGAGAGACTACATTTCTCCACAATGGTTTGTTTGGGTCCTCCCTCACTGCTTAACCAAGGTAGTACAAGACAGAGAGAAACTTACTCTACTGAAATATAGTAATACTATACAAAAATGAAGAGGGTTCCTCAAGTTCTCTGTCAACGCAAATGTGTCTATGAGCACTTCTACATGAGGACTCAACTGTGAGTTCAAAAAGTAGTTCAGGACCTCTGGGATCCCTCTGGATTGGCTGGTTTGGCAGCTTAGCTGATTTATTACTGGCTCCGCTTATGTGCAACCCCAATTACAAATCTCAAAAGAAGGATTTCTCTTTGCAATGGTGAAGTTCTGCCAAGCTTGTGGACAGTCCATTCCTGCATTGAAGGAAACCTCCCTCTCCCTGGCTCCTGATCTTGATCAAGTTTTTTTTTTTTTTTTTAAGAGAATGCTGGATTGACTCAGCAGGGGTAAAATTAAGAGACTCTCTCTCCCCCTTCCTTTGATTTAATCGGTAGCTTGTTGTTGGTGTTTGTGTTTGTTTCTTTTGTGTGGACGATGGGCGCTATAATGAATTCCACTTCCTGCAACCTAAAAAAGTATGCTTTTGCTTACAACGTATTGCCATAGGGTTTCTACCTGCAGCCAACTCCCATTACAGGTGCTGGGAGAAACGTTGGGTTGCAACCGTCCCACCCAAACTCACAGAATGGGCATACTCTGGACCCCCTCAGCAAAAGAACTCCAACTAGCGGGGTCTAGAAGGCGGGCTTCTCTGCGGTAGCCCCCGCCCTTTGGAACATCTTGCCCCCGGAGGTGAGACAGGCCCCCTTACTCCCAGCCTTTCGGAGGGATTTGAAGACCTGGCTCTGCCATCTGGCCTGGGGCAGGGAAGGAGGTAATCAGAAATGGGGTTGGCTAGCCCCCTAGAGGCCTAGTGTGGTTTCCATCGGCCTCTTGGATTTTTTTTCTCTTCTTTCCATTTGTGTAGATGTGTCTTTTTATAAATTTTAATTATGTATTTATTTGTTTTAATTTGATGTAAACTGCCCAGA